GACCCTATTCATGAAAAGGAAGAGTGAAACTGAGAAGAAGCTCCCAGAACTGATGAAACTCCTTCAGAATGAAAAGAGCATCTCAATACAAAAGATACGGTCAGATAGAGGTACTGAATTTCTAAATTCAACAGTAATTCAGTACTGTGAAGAATCCGGAATCCATCACCAAACATCAGCAGCAAGAACACCTCAACAAAATGGTGTTGCTGAAAGAAGGAACAGAACACTCAAGGAAGCTGGAAGGACCATGATTGAAGCAGCCGGTCTACCCAAAAGATTTTGGGCAGAAGCAATAAACACAGCTTGCTACACCCAGAACAGAAGTCTTATTCATAAGACTTACAAGAAGACTCCATATGAGCTATGGAAAGAAAGAAAGCCAAAAATCAGTTATTTCCATGAATTCGGATGCAAATGTTTTATTCTAAACAATGGAAAAGACTATCTCAAATCATTTGATCCAAAATCAGATGAAGGGATCTTCTTGGGCTACTCAACAAATAGCAAGGCTTTCAGAATCTTCAACAAAAGAACTCTGGCAGTAGAAGAATCAATTCATGTGACCTTTGACAATCACTCCTATGCCAACAAAATGGTAGAAGGAGAATCATCTGGGAAAGAAAAGATAACTGGAAAGGCTCCAAGCTGCCTTCCCAACACCAACAAAAATCATGAAACTGCAGGTGTCTCCAACAATGGACAACTACCAGCTGATGGATCAATTCAAATCACTTCTCCAAAACAACCAGCTGAATCATTCACAAGAACTGAAGTTCCTGTTCCTCCAACTCTACCAGAAGATAGTGAAGAAGAAGAGGAGGATGAGCAACAAACTCAAGTCAACAGAACCTCTGACATCAGATGGACAAATCAACATCCTCCTCAACAAATCATAGGAAACATCCATGAAGGGGTTCGAACTAGATCATCATTCCAGAAAGAAGCTATGTTCTCTTGCTTCATCTCACAAAATGAACCCAAGAAAATTGAAGAAGCCCTCTCAGACTCAGACTGGATACTAGCCATGCAAGAAGAACTCAACCAATTTGAACGAAATGAAGTATGGCAACTTGTACCCAGACCCTATCATCAACATGTGATAGGAACTAAATGGGTATTCAGAAACAAAATGAATGAGGAAGGCACAATCATCAAAAACAAAGCCAGACTAGTAGCCAAAGGCTACTATCAAGAAGAAGGAATAGACTTTGATGAAACTTTTGCTCCTGTTGCCAGACTTGAAGCAATAAGAATATTCCTTGCTTATGCTGCCTACAAGCAATTCACAGTCTATCAAATGGATGTGAAAAGTGCCTTCCTAAATGGTCTACAAGAAGAGGAGGTCTATGTGGAGCAACCTCCTGGATTTGAAATCAACAGAGAGAAAGATCAAGTATTCAAACTAAAGAAGGCCCTCTATGGACTCAAACAAGCTCCAAGAGCATGGTATGACACTCTCTCTCAATACTTAGTGAACAACGGTTTCACTAAAGGCAAAGTAGATAAAACTCTCTTCAAAAGTGAAGAAGGTCCACACATACTGCTTGTCCAAATTTATGTGGATGACATAATCTTTGGAAGCTCAAATCAGGCATTATGTAAGAAATTTTCAACTCTCATGCAAAACAAGTTTGAAATGAGCATGATGGGAGAGTTGAACTATTTCCTAGGACTACAAGTGAAGCAGACTCCACAAGGTATCTTCATCAACCAAGCAAAGTACACAAGAGATCTCATGAAGAAATTCAAAATTCTTAATTTAAATGGAAATAAGGGGCGTTACCGCCACACTCGGTTCTCTCATAACCGAGTGCACAGGCTATCCACCACCAACAAATTAAAATTTTCCAAAATTAACTATTCAACTACAATTCTTTAAAATTAAGATTAAAATAAATTATTCAATCACTTTAGTCTATGTGTTCTAGCGGAAGCTCTCGAAATCAACTTCAATATGATCCTCAATTCCTGCACAAATAAAGTACAGAAAGAAAAACACAAAGAAACAAAAATTAGCTGGAAATGCTAAGTAAGGCCCACCCAACCCTGTAAAATAATCATGTTTGATACATATATATCATTTTGTGAAAACATTTAGGAGGAAACCTTATGAAACACCTTATACAAACTTCTCATCACAAATCACATGTAAAATAATAATATTCCAAAATATAGGTACATATATTTAATCAAATCCAAAAGTATTACTTTGAAAATCCATAATTAATTTAATAACCTCAACCACCTCAAATTCAACCAAATCCAAAAAAAATATAACACACTCAAATAATCCAATATAATATAATTCAATTCACCTCAATTAAGTCCAACCAAATAATCCAAATCGCCTCAAAGCCTCAAAACCAATTAATCACCTCAAATCCCAATGGAATCTAAGTCCAATTAAATCCAAACATAATCCAATCATTCAAACTCATTCAAATCCAATGGAAGCCGAACTCCTACCTTAAGTGTGCACACCCCCTAAAAGAGATTCCAAGCTCTCCGGGTAGTAAAAAGTCCGAGTAGTCGGGATTTTTCTACCGACTACTACAATTAAGCTGGGATGCTCCACTTTTGGGAGATCCCTGGTGGAATTAGACTTATAGTCATTACCACTCACCAAATCCACATTTCTCTGAGTGTTCACAAAATCATAATCCAATCTCAAGTTCAAGTATCATAACCTCAATCAAAATGGATATGAAATCCAAATCCAACCAAATTATTCATAATGAAATTATTAACTCCAACTCATCATACTCAAATATACCATAAATAGTCCAAAATATAGGATACTTCATAAATAGCTCAAATCTCAAATCTCAATCCAATAACAATTCATATGTAAATTCAAATGCTCAAAATATCACCCAATATAAAAAAAATACTCAAATCTCTCGAATATATATAATTCACAATCACAATTGATACGTAAAATCTCATTAACTATCATATACTCAAATGATCTCAAATAACTAGTCACAAATAAATTTATATGGGAAAAGCATGAAACTTGGTTGACATAGTACTTACCTCGAATTGTGATAATTCCTAACCGAAGCTTTAACCTCGATCTTCACCAAAATTCACCTTCTAAGAATATTAAAATTTCTAAAATCAATATCTAATCAACTATAGTTTAATTCTTCAACCCTTTGTAAACTCTCGTTCTTATGACTCTTTTATTTTACCAATATATATAGTAGTCCATAATCTATTTTGTTTATAGTCACCCACTTGTGTTAATATTATTAACAATCGAATAACAGTCCACGATTCTCAGCCAGATCAAATAAATTTTCTCCTTTTCATATCAATCTTGATTTATTTTATTAACAAGTCTTTTTATTATTAATCGGCCCCAGCTACATAATAGAGCAATTAGAATTCCTAGCCAGCCCAAAGTTTTATAAACATTACGCAAGGAAAACAGAGTATACATACTCTGTGATAGAAGATCGTCCTCTTCGAGAAGCAGTCGGAAACAGAGTGGCGGCCTGTAGCCTCTCCTCTTGTCGTCCCTCGCGGTTTAGTTATTCCCGAGACAGGTCACTGTGATTTTGGAGTCGGCAATGGACCGATTGACGGCGGCTTCTCTCCCAGCGAAGACGGCACTCCGTGTAGCAGTATTCCGGCGTGAAACGTGGCCTAGCAACTAGTCCGGCGATGGTTGTCCGTTCCGGAGACAGATGGAAGAAGCTAGGGTCAGTGAATCACTCTTTCGCATGTGACGATAATGATCAGGCTTCCTCCTCCGGGGCAGCACCACGGCCTCTCTCATTGGCGGTCTGCTACTTCCCTACGGCGAGCCTTGTTTCTCTTACTGGCGGGATCCTATCTCCGGCGTCGTTATAATCTTCTACGGCGACGCAGATGTCTACAGTTCAGGTGGGGTGTTGGTTTCTTTTTGGACTCGCCCGAATGCCCGATACCTCCTCAGCACCGGTGAGTATACCGGCGATGTCTTGTCCTTTTTCTTCTTCACGTGATGTATAGAGCAGCTTGGTTCTCCTTCTATTAATGCGTAAATATATGTGCCTATCTAGCTCGTTTGTTTCTATATACATACACATACGGACAGAGACTTCATATACGGAGTATGAATGTAGTTTTTCATTTGTTATGCTAACAGGGATGAACTATAGGAGAATAAATAGTACTACGCGCAACTCCAGTTGTAGATACAGGTGGTACGTCTCTTCCGTTTCAACCGAACGTTTCTGCTAAGTGAGTTGGGTATTTTTGGCTTCATCTTAGACATACACATGTGTTTCCTCATTGGTGCATTGCATATGGGTGTTGTGAGTGTATGTAGTTGCGAGTACATGCATCCATCTATCTGTGGCCTTGTTTTAAGACCAACGCATGTGAGTGGTCAATTTGTTTTGTATTTTGTATACTTTGCACCACATCTTATTGTTATGTACGTAGTATATTATTAGTACCGCAAGCATATTATTGTTATCTATAGTATGCATTATTATTAGACTTCAAAAGTCAACTCTTTCAAAAGTGTTATTTTTGTAGGGTATTTTTGTACACATTTTATCTACTCATCTCTTTAAATTAAAATATTACTTTTATTATTGAAACAATTTTATCTGATTAAAAATGTCATAGATGTTACGATTTTATCTGATTCACTTAATTATTAAAATGCCACTTTCGAAATATTTTATCTGACTAATAAAAATCATTTATTTTATTTAAATTTTTCGGGGTGTCACATTCTACCCTCCTTAAAAGATGCTTCGTCCCGAAGCATAAGCTAAGAAAAATATCCGCAACTATAATTGTGTGGTGTCACATTTTAATTAATGTTAAATTCTTTTTATTAAATTTATGGAGTGTCACATTCTACCCTCCTTAAAAGAATGCTTCGTCCCCGAAGCATTTAACTTATTCAAGAAAATAATTTATTCGTCAAAGATCAAATGATACATAATTCTCAAACATTTTTACTAATTATGAAAATTAGGAATTGATATGTTTTCGCCTACTATTCTGAGGTTCTTCCATTGCGTTTTGGATGATGATTGAGTCCACGAGTTGGAGGGATTCCCTTCTTCCTTGAACAACACTCGAACACCCTATGCCCTAGCTTGTCACAATGAAAACATCGTACGAGCGTTCCATCACAGTATTTCCCAGGGTGATCTTTTCTACACTTCGAGCAGTAGAAGTGCATCTCTTCAGTTGAGTTCTTCTTCTTACGCTTCTGGCCTCGGCCTTGGTTGTTGATCTTGTTCCTGTTTCGGGTCTCCTCTGCATTATCTAGCTTTTGCCGTTTGCCTCCCTGTCTATTTTCTTCTTCGGTGCCCTTCCTTTCTCTCTTGAGTGTTTTCTTCTGGAGTTGTTGCACTTGATAGTGCTTGCCAGCTTTGTTGTAGGCATCGTTCAACGTTTGGCATTCTGAAATGCAAAGAGCTTTTTGTGTCTCGAAGTTCAGACCGCGTATAAACTTATTTGTTTTCTCGATTTCATTGGGAACTAGCGTGGGAGCAAATCGTGCGAGATTCAAGAATTTAGCGTGATACTCTTGGACAGTCATACCCACTTGCTTCAGGTGTAAGAATTCTTCATACTTCTCAGCTCTAACGTGCTCTGGGTAGAATCTCTTTCGCATTGCCTCCTTGAACGTCTCCCAAGAAAAGTCAGGTTGTTGACGCAACGTTGGGGCAGTCGTGGCCCACCAATTGTCTGCTTCTTGACGTAGATAGTACGCAGCCGTATTAATTCGTTGATCTGCAGGGCAGTTTATAGTGTCGAAAAGTTTGTCGAAAGTGCGAATCCAATCCTCAAGGATGAGAGGATCTTCTTGGCCTAAATAACACGGTGGATTGCGCTTCGCTACAAGTTTCGCTACATCATTGTGGTTTTTGAGACGTTGTTGGTGTTGGTTCTGAACTAACACACTCCCGATAGTCTGGATGAGTTGAACCATATTTTGAGCCAACTCCGCATTCGTCGGTGCAGCGATATTGTCTTCTACTTTGGTTCTCGTTGACTTCATTGTCTACTTGAAATAATGTTTCAGACACAAAGTATGTCAATGACATTTACATTTATACTACCTTAATTAACTAATACGAAGTAACTTACTACTCACATAATTTGGTAAGTTCCTCTAAAAGTCCAAACTCTTTCTCAACTGAGTCAATAATGATATATCTCATATAAGTATAACTCAACTATTCAAAGAACCACAAACTCCATCAAAGTAGAAATTCAAAATCTCACATTCTCACCCGTATCCTAGACTTTTTTTTTTAGCTTATTCTTTCTTAATACGACTTATTATCCCTAAATTTCTTTCTGTTGAAGAACATTTAGAAGACCGATATAATTTTTTTTTATAGGAAAAAATTTGAAGATCATAGTTACATAAAGAAAGTTTTATTTGAAAATTCGAAGTTTGAAAATCATAGGCTTCCATACCAATTTGTTGGTATCTCTTAAAGAGTTTTAGAAAATCTTATAAAATGTTATGAACTCCTTTTTTTTTTGAAACCGAAGTTAGTGAATGAAAACTTTTATTCAAAAATCCACTTTCGAAAATCATACCAATTTGTTGGTATCACTTGAGGAAAAAGAAAATCTCAGAAAATGTTTGAAAACCCCCATAAAAAAAGAAGAAAGTCTCTGATACCAACTTGTTGGTATTACTCATTGAAGTTTTAGAACGTCAAAAAAAAAAATGTTCGAAACTATTTTTTTTTTTTTTGAAAACCACAGTCACTTTAGGAAAAACTTTTATTTGAAAACCCCCATTTAAAAAAAATCAAAGTCTCTGATACCAACTTGTAACACCCCCAAATTTCCCACCCAAAAATATATTTGAATAATGATTTATTCAAAGTAAATAATGATTTATTCGAAAACATCAGAGTCTTGCAGCGGAAAATTCAAAGGGAAACAGGGGCGTTACCGCCACACTCGGCTCTCACATAACCGGGTGCACAGGCTATCCACCACCAACAAATTAAAATTTTCCATATTTAATTGTTCAACTACAATTCTTTAAAATTAAGACTAAAATAAATTACTCAATCACTTTAGTCTATGTGTTCTAGCGGAAGCTCTCGAAATCAACTTCAATATGATCCTCAATTCCTGCACAAATAAAGTACAGAAAGAAAAGCACAAAGAAACAAAAATTAGCTGGAAATGCTAAGTAAGGCCCACCCAACCCTGTAAAATAATCATGTTTGATACATATATATCATTTTGCAAAAACATTTGGGAGGAAACCTCATAAAACATTTTATACAAACTTCTCATCACAAAATCACATGTAAAATAATAATATTCCAAAAATAGGTACATATTTCCAAATCATAATAATTCTAAAAGGTCAATATACGTAAACCACCAAAATCCTCGTAATTATATTCCAAAACATAAATCATATGTAAAGCCCAAATATTCATCTCAAAATACTTCCAAATACTTATAATCAATATTCAACGTAACCATATCAAATCAAATTAATAAGTATTACTTTGAAAACCGACAATTAATTTAATAATCTCAACCACATCAAATTCAATCCAATCCAAACAAATATAACCCACTCAAATAATCCAATATAATGTAGTTCAATTCATCTCCATCAAGTCCAACCAAATAATCCAAATCATCTCAAGTTCAATCATTCAATCTCAACCAAATCCAATGGAAGCCGAACTCCTACCTTAAGTGTGCACACCCCCTAAAAGAGATTCCAAGCTCTCCGGGTAGTAAAAAGTCCGAGTAGTCGGGATTTTTCTACCGATTACTACAATTAAGCTGGGATGCTCCGCTTTTGGGAGATCCCTGGTGGGATTAGACTTGTAGCCATTACCACTCACCAAATCCACATTTCTCCGAGTACTCACAAAAATCATAATCCAATCTCAATTTCAAGTATCATAACATCAATCAAAATGGATATGAAATCCAAATTTCACAAAATTATTTACAATGAAATTATTAACTCCAACTCATCATACTCAAATATACCATAAATAGTCCAAAATATAGGATACTTCGTAAATAGCTCAAATCTCAAATCTCAATCGAATAACAATTCATATGTAAATTCAAATGCTCAAAATGTCACCCAATATAAAAATATTCAAATCTCGAATATATATAATTCACAATCACAATTGATACGTAAAATCTCATTAACTATCATATACTCAAATGATCTCAAATAACTAGTCACAAATAAATTTATATGGGAAAAGTATGAAACTTGGTTGACATAGTACTTACCTCGAATTGTGATAATTCCTAACCGAAGCTTTAACCTCGATCTTCACCAAAATTCACCTTCTAAGAATATTAAAATTTCTAAAATCAATATCTAATCAACTATAGTTTAATTCTTCAACCCTTTGTAAACTCTCGTTCTTATGACTCTTTTATTTTACCAATATATATAGTAGTCCATAATCTATTTTGTTTATAGTCACCCACTTGTGTTAATATTATTAACAATCGAATAACAGTCCACGATTCTCAGCCAGATCAAATAAATTTTCTCCTTTTCATATCAATCTTGATTTATTTTATTAACAAGTCTTTTTATTATTAATCGGCCCAAGCTACATAATAGAGCAATTAGAATTCCTAGCCAGCCCAAAGTTTTATAAACATTACGCAAGGAAAACAGAGTATACATACTCTGTGATAGAAGATTGTCCTCTTCGAGAAGCAGTCGGAAACAGAGTGGCGGCCTGTAGCCTCTCCTCTTGTCGTCCCTCGCGGTTTAGTTATTCCCGAGACAGGTCACTGTGATTTTGGAGTCGGCAATGGACTGAATTGACGGCGGCTTCTCTCCCAGCGAAGACGGCACTCCGTGTAGCAGTATTCCGGCGTGAAACGTGGCCTAGCAACTAGTCCGGCGATGGTTGTCCGTTCCGGAGACAGATGGAAGAAGCTAGGGTCAGTGAATCACTCCTTCGCATGTGACGATAATGATCAGGCTTCCTCCTCCGGGGCAGCACCACGGCCTCTCTCATTGGCGGTCTGCTACTTCCCTACGGCGAGCCTTGTTTCTTTTACCGGCGGGATCCTATCTCCGGCGTCGTTATAATCTTCTACGGCGACGCAGATGTCTACAGTTCAGGTGGGGTGTTGGTTTCTTTTTGGACTCGCCCGAATGCCCGATACCTCCTCAGCACCGGTGAGTATACCGGCGATGTCTTCTCCTTTTTCTTCTTCACGTGACGTATAGAGCAGCTTGGTTCTCCTTCTATTAATGCGTAAATATATGTGCCTATCTAGCTCGTTTGTTTCTATATACATACACATACGGACAGAGACTTCATATACGGAGTATGAATGTAGTTTTTCATTTGTTATGCTAACAGGGATGAACTATAGGAGAATAAATAGTACTACGCGCAACTCCAGTTGTAGATACAGGTGGTACGTCTCTTCCGTTTCAACCGAACGTTTCTGCTAAGTGAGTTGGGTATTTTTGGCTTCATCTTAGACATACACATGTGTTTCCTCATTGGTGCATTGCATATGGGTGTTGTGAGTGTATGTAGTTGCGAGTACATGCATCCATCTATCTGTGGCCTTGTTTTAAGACCAACGCATGTGAGTGGTCAATTTGTTTTGTATTTTGTATACTTTGCACCACATCTTATTGTTATGTACGTAGTATATTATTAGTACCGCAAGCATATTATTGTTATCTATAGTATGCATTATTATTAGACTTCAAAAGTCAACTCTTTCAAAAGTGTTATTTTTGTAGGGTATTTTTGTACACATTTTATCTACTCATCTCTTTAAATTAAAATATTACTTTTATTATTGAAACAATTTTATCTGCGTAAAAATGTCATAGATGTTACGATTTTATCTGATTCACTTAATTATTAAAATGCCACTTTCGAAATATTTTATCTGACTAATAAAAATCATTTATTTTATTTAAATTTTTCGGGGTGTCACATTCTACCCTCCTTAAAAGATGCTTCGTCCCGAAGCATAAGCTAAGAAAAATATCCGCAACTATAATTGTGTGGTGTCACATTTTAATTAATGTTAAATTCTTTTTATTAAATTTATGGAGTGTCACATTCTACCCTCCTTAAAAGAATGCTTCGTCCCCGAAGCATTTAACTTATTCAAGAAAATAATTTATTCGTCAAAGATCAAATGATACATAATTCTCAAACATTTTTACTAATTATGAAAATTAGGAATTGATATGTTTTCGCCTACTATTCTGAGGTTCTTCCATTGCGTTTTGGATGATGATTGAGTCCACGAGTTGGAGGGATTCCCTTCTTCCTTGAATAACACTCGAACACCCTATGCCCTAGCTTGTCACAATGAAAACATCGTACGAGCGTTCCATCACAGTATTTCCCAGGGTGATCTTTTCTACACTTCGAGCAGTAGAAGTGCATCTCTTCAGTTGAGTTCTTCTTCTTACGCTTCTGGCCTCGGCCTTGGTTGTTGATCTTGTTCCTGTTTCGGGTCTCCCCTGCATTATCTAGCTTTTGCCGTTTGCCTCCCTGTCTATTTTCTTCTTCGGTGCCCTTCCTTTCTCTCTTGAGTGTTTTCTTCTGGAGTTGTTGCACTTGATAGTGCTTGCCAGCTTTGTTGTAGGCATCGTTCAACGTTTGGCATTCTGAAATGCAAAGAGCTTTTTGTGTCTCGAAGTTCAGACCGCGTATAAACTTATTTGTTTTCTCGATTTCATTGGGAACTAGCGTGGGAGCAAATCGTGCGAGATTCAAGAATTTAGCGTGATACTCTTGGACAGTCATACCCACTTGCTTCAGGTGTAAGAATTCTTCATACTTCTCAGCTCTAACGTGCTCTGGGTAGAATCTCTTTCGCATTGCCTCCTTGAACGTCTCCCAAGAAAAGTCAGGTTGTTGACGCAACGTTGGGGCAGTCGTGGCCCACCAATTGTCTGCTTCTTGACGTAGATAGTACGCAGCCGTATTAATTCGTTGATCTGCAGGGCAGTTTATAGTGTCGAAAAGTTTGTCGAAAGTGCGAATCCAATCCTCAAGGATGAGAGGATCTTCTTGGCCTAAATAACACGGTGGATTGCGCTTCGCTACAAGTTTCGCTACATCATTGTGGTTTTTGAGACGTTGTTGGTGTTGGTTCTGAACTAACACACTCCCGATAGTCTGGATGAGTTGAACCATATTTTGAGCCAACTCCGCATTCGTCGGTGCAGCGATATTGTCTTCTACTTTGGTTCTCGTTGACTTCATTGTCTACTTGAAATAATGTTTCAGACACAAAGTATGTCAATGACATTTACATTTATACTACCTTAATTAACTAATACGAAGTAACTTACTACTCACATAATTTGGTAAGTTCCTCTAAAAGTCCAAACTCTTTCTCAACTGAGTCAATAATGATATATCTCATATAAGTATAACTCAACTATTCAAAGAACCACAAACTCCATCAAAGTAGAAATTCAAAATCTCACATTCTCACCCGTATCCTAGACTTTTTTTTTTAGCTTATTCTTTCTTAATACGACTTATTATCCCTAAATTTCTTTCTGTTGAAGAACATTTAGAAGACCGATATAATTTTTTTTTTATAGGAAAAAATTTGAAGATCATAGTTACATAAAGAAAGTTTTATTTGAAAATTCGAAGTTTGAAAATCATAGGCTTCCATACCAATTTGTTGGTATCTCTTAAAGAGTTTTAGAAAATCTTATAAAATGTTATGAACTCCTTTTTTTTTTGAAACCGAAGTTAGTGAATGAAAACTTTTATTCAAAAATCCACTTTCGAAAATCATACCAATTTGTTGGTATCACTTGAGGAAAAAGAAAATCTCAGAAAATGTTTGAAAACCCCCATAAAAAAAGATGAAAGTCTCTGATACCAACTTGTTGGTATTACTCATTGAAGTTTTAGAACGTCAAAAAAAAAAATGTTCGAAACTATTTTTTTTTTTTTTGAAAACCACAGTCACTTTAGGAAAAACTTTTATTTGAAAACCCCCATTTAAAAAAAATCAAAGTCTCTGATACCAACTTGTAACACCCCCAAATTTCCCACCCAAAAATATATTTGAATAATGATTTATTCAAAGTAAATAATGATTTATTCGAAAACATCAGAGTCTTGCAGCGGAAAATTCAAAGGGAAACAGGGGCGTTACCGCCACACTCGGCTCTCACATAACCGGGTGCACAGGCTATCCACCACCAACAAATTAAAATTTTCCATATTTAATTGTTCAACTACAATTCTTTAAAATTAAGACTAAAATAAATTACTCAATCACTTTAGTCTATGTGTTCTAGCGGAAGCTCTCGAAATCAACTTCAATATGATCCTCAATTCCTGCACAAATAAAGTACAGAAAGAAAAGCACAAAGAAACAAAAATTAGCTGGAAATGCTAAGTAAGGCCCACCCAACCCTGTAAAATAATCATGTTTGATACATATATATCATTTTGCAAAAACATTTGGGAGGAAACCTCATAAAACATTTTATACAAACTTCTCATCACAAAATCACATGTAAAATAATAATATTCCAAAAATAGGTACATATTTCCAAATCATAATAATTCTAAAAGGTCAATATACGTAAACCACCAAAATCCTCGTAATTATATTCCAAAACATAAATCATATGTAAAGCCCAAATATTCATCTCAAAATACTTCCAAATACTTATAATCAATATTCAACGTAACCATATCAAATCAAATTAATAAGTATTACTTTGAAAACCGACAATTAATTTAATAATCTCAACCACATCAAATTCAATCCAATCCAAACAAATATAACCCACTCAAATAATCCAATATAATGTAGTTCAATTCATCTCCATCAAGTCCAACCAAATAATCCAAATCATCTCAAGTTCAATCATTCAATCTCAACCAAATCCAATGGAAGCCGAACTCCTACCTTAAGTGTGCACACCCCCTAAAAGAGATTCCAAGCTCTCCGGGTAGTAAAAAGTCCGAGTAGTCGGGATTTTTCTACCGATTACTACAATTAAGCTGGGATGCTCCGCTTTTGGGAGATCCCTGGTGGGATTAGACTTGTAGCCATTACCACTCACCAAATCCACATTTCTCCGAGTACTCACAAAAATCATAATCCAATCTCAATTTCAAGTATCATAACATCAATCAAAATGGATATGAAATCCAAATTTCACAAAATTATTCACAATGAAATTATTAACTCCAACTCATCATACTCAAATATACCATAAATAGTCCAAAATATAGGATACTTCGTAAATAGCTCAAATCTCAAATCTCAATCGAATAACAATTCATATGTAAATTCAAATGCTCAAAATGTCACCCAATATAAAAATATTCAAATCTCGAATATATATAATTCACAATCACAATTGATACGTAAAATCTCATTAACTATCATATACTCAAATGATCTCAAATAACTAGTCACAAATAAATTTATATGGGAAAAGTATGAAACTTGGTTGACATAGTACTTACCTCGAATTGTGATAATTCCTAACCGAAGCTTTAACCTCGATCTTCACCAAAATTCACCTTCTAAGAATATTAAAATTTCTAAAATCAATATCTAATCAACTATAGTTTAATTCTTCAACCCTTTGTAAACTCTCGTTCTTATGACTCTTTTATTTTACCAATATATATAGTAGTCCATAATCTATTTTGTTTATAGTCACCCACTTGTGTTAATATTATTAACAATCGAATAACAGTCCACGATTCTCAGCCAGATCAAATAAATTTTCTCCTTTTCATATCAATCTTGATTTATTTTATTAACAAGTCTTTTTATTATTAATCGGCCCAAGCTACATAATAGAGCAATTAGAATTCCTAGCCAGCCCAAAGTTTTATAAACATTACGCAAGGAAAACAGAGTATACATACTCTGTGATAGAAGATCGTCCTCTTCGAGAAGCAGTCGGAAACAGAGTGGCGGCCTGTAGCCTCTCCTCTTGTCGTCCCTCGCGGTTTAGTTATTCCCGAGACAGGTCACTGTGATTTTGGAGTCGGCAATGGACTGAATTGACGGCGGCTTCTCTCCCAGCGAAGACGGCACTCCGTGTAGCAGTATTCCGGCGTGAAACGTGGCCTAGCAACTAGTCCGGCGATGGTTGTCCGTTCCGGAGACAGATGGAAGAAGCTAGGGTCAGTGAATCACTCCTTCGCATGTGACGATAATGATCAGGCTTCCTCCTCCGGGGCAGCACCACGGCCTCTCTCATTGGCGGTCTGCTACTTCCCTACGGCGAGCCTTGTTTCTCTTACCGGCGGGATCCTATCTCCGGCGTCGTTATAATCTTCTACGGCGACGCAGATGTCTACAGTTCAGGTGGGGTGTTGGTTTCTTTTTGGACTCGCCCGAATGCCCGATACCTCCTCAGCACCGGTGAGTATACCGGCGATGTCTTCTCCTTTTTCTTCTTCACGTGACGTATAGAGCAGCTTGGTTCTCCTTCTATTAATGCGTAAATATATGTGCCTATCTAGCTCGTTTGTTTCTATATACATACACATACGGACAGAGACTTCATATACGGAGTATGAATGTAGTTTTTCATTTGTTATGCTAACAGGGATGAACTATAGGAGAATAAATAGTACTACGCGCAACTCCAGTTGTAGATACAGGTGGTACGTCTCTTCCGTTTCAACCGAACGTTTCTGCTAAGTGAGTTGGGTATTTTTGGCTTCATCTTAGACATACACATGTGTTTCCTCATTGGTGCATTGCATATGGGTGTTGTGAGTGTATGTAGTTGCGAGTACATGCATCCATCTATCTGTGGCCTTGTTTTAAGACCAACGCATGTGAGTGGTCAATTTGTTTTGTATTTTGTATACTTTGCACCACATCTTATTATTATGTACGTAGTATATTATTAGTACCGCAAGCATATTATTGTTATCTATAGTATGCATTATTATTAGACTTCAAAAGTCAACTCTTTCAAAAGTGTTATTTTTGTAGGGTATTTTTGTACACATTTTATCTACTCATCTCTTTAAATTAAAATATTACTTTTATTATTGAAACAATTTTATCTGATTAAAAATGTCATAGATGTTACGATTTTATCTGATTCACTTAATTATTAAAATGCCACTTTCGAAATATTTTATCTGACTAATAAAAATCATTTATTTTATTTAAATTTTTCGGGGTGTCACATAGACCTCTATACTTCGTTACATGCGGCCAATCCTCTCTTGGCTGAGAAAGTGAAACACCGGGATCCTCAGGATTGCCCGTTGACATCAGTTTCGAACTAGGTTCTAACTGATGGCCTGAGTAGGAAGATGTACTCGTGGTAGCATCATCAGGACTTCCATTCCGTCCTTGGTCAACATCTATAGGAGATGCGCCTCGGAATGTTTTGTCTAGCTCGACCATGCTAGAAAGAGAGGCTAGGGATTTATGGCTGGCCGAAGTAGTGGGTTGATCATTGGTAGAGGTAGAGGGTTGGTTTGGCTTTGAGGGTTGGCTAGTAGAAGCAACATGCTCAAGTATCCGCGGGCGCTTGTTCTCCCCCTCATGAGAATCCGAATCATCAGGATCCTCATGTGAACGTTTAGTGCCACGGAGACTTTCACGGCATGTGTTCTGTGTATCTAGAGCATGGAGAAGGGCTTTTTGAAGAGGGGTAAGGTTGCCTTCTTCCACGTCTAGTATACGGTCAAAGACCTCAGCTACAAGGTCCTCGAATGGTACGGTTCGGAGATTGGGTTTGGTCGTTGGAGGGGAGGATACTATCTCTGTATCCTGGGTTCCCCTTGATGTGGATGGTTGTTGGCTTTCTAGGGCTATGGGTTTGGAGATAGGTATAAAAACAGTTGGGTGCTGAGTGGTTTGGGGTTCAGTTGGTATATCTTGAACTGTTTGGGTTTGTCCAGAGCCAAGTACGCTAGCGGAGAGTGTTTCGCGCACCCATGGTTTAATGGCTGACTCTAGATAACAGTTCAAGTATATGAGAAGTTCTTCAGGGATTTGAGTACCAGTTACGGGGGTTGTAACTGTTGTCACAGCATCAGTGAAGATAGCTGATGTGTGGCCTGCGTTCAATGATTGTGTCATTGTTGGCGTAGCAGGGCTTCCAACCGTCATAGTTTGCACTCTAGTTGTTGCGTTCAGGGTGTGTGCACCTGTATGTGCAGTG